TCCTGGGGGGTCTTAGGAGGTGAACAGGAGGAGGAAACAACAGTGGGTCATAGACAACACCATGGTGAGGGCCAAGGGTTGAAGGACCTTTGGCTGTGTGTGCTCAACAGTGCAGAAGGCAAGCAGTGGTGCTGTTCTTCTTCCCCAGAAAAAAGACAAGTTTTTCTGTTTGATGAATATTCCCACTACGCCTCCTAGTTATTTGGTGCTGGGTCTTTGAACAGGAATTTACTTAAAGGGAGGCAGCTCCAGCACTGCAAACCTCCCAGCTAGGCTAAATCTCCAGATTCACAGATAGCTCAGATAGCTGTACCAGTACACGATTTGCATTAGTTGTTTTGAGCCCCTGAACACTTTAAGCCTTAATACTTCACATTTCTAGAAGTCTCCCTTAGCGCAGATGTCTGAATCAGTAGATGTGAGAAGCTGATGTTTTATTTTTAATTTAACGTCAAATAGGTTGCGTACAAATAAGCTTTTCCCTTAAAAATACTGTTTCAACCCAACCAAAGCTATTTGCAGAATTTAACTGAAACTTCTCATGGTTTCAGCCAACAGAAATAAAACAAAGAGAAGCTGAAACATTTCAGCTCATTAAAATTTGTGAGGGTTTTGACTACTTTTTTTTCTTTAATAATAGAAATTTCTTAGACTCAATAAAAAGCACTTACAAAACCAAACCAAAAACAAAATTAAAATCTTGTTTAAGATTTTATGAAAAAAATTAATCAGCTTCAGATGTATTGCCTTTTTCTTGAAGAAGAAATTATTTTTATGCTTGTGTCATTTCTTTCTCCTCTACCCCTCTCCAGTTTTCAGCAAGTGAATTGGAAAGAGACAAATATATAAACAAATGAAGTGAACAACTTACACAGCATTAGTGTCGACAGATTTCTCCATGTTGTTTAAACAGATAAGAAGGTATTGGACTTTAGGCTGGAAAGCGTGGGAACAGCTATTCAGGCCTGACCACGTTTGGCAGTGAGAACAGGCTTATCTTTAGGCATTTGTTACAGTCTGGATTTCAAAATGCCTCTTTCACAGTGTCATTAGCTCTTGACATTTTATCACTACCGTTGGAGTATTTGATATCCTTTGTAAAGCTCCCCCAGGAATAAGAGACCACGGGAAACACATCTTTGATTCAAGTGCTATTGACCCAAACCTTCCGCCGTGCCAAGCACCGCTTCAGACCCTCAGCATGCCAAGCAGGAGGGATAGTCCAGGAACCCATGGCCACCTAAACCTAGGGATGGGATAACGTGAGTATTAGGTACTTTATTTTTAAATGGCAGACGTTTCTAACTGCAACTGTGAGTTTGAGGAAAGGGCCTTACCTGTGAATTTTGAAACATGCTGTTTTCATTTATGGGCCTATGTACTAGCCTGACAGTGATCGCTTTCTGGATGAGGCACAGTATATAGCCCTACAGCTTCTGTAGCCTACTACATGGACAGAGTAGCAATAACATTTCATTATATGCTGGTGAGGGTCTAAATTTGAGGATTCAGAGAAGAAAATATGTTCCTTACTTCGTAGGCTGCTTGTCATGTTGATGTTACCTCAAGCCTCGCTTCTATAATTAGGAAATTCTGACTGTAAGGCTAAATAATGTTTTGAACAATCAAATATGTATATGAGATATATATATATAAAACTACAACACCTACACATCTGCAAAATTTAGTCCAGGTTTCCAACTGCAATTATATTAATGCATATAATTTGAATTAACTATAATTTCACCAGTTCTGTAAATCCCCTTGAAAGGATCTGTTGCTTGTTGATTTTGTGCCATGTGAAGACATGATAAATATGACATGTACCCTCATCACATGAATAATGTATTCTGCATCTTAAGCAAGCCAGTTCTGCTCCAGAGAGATGCTTAATCTATTCCCTGCTTCTGGGGATGAAAGGAATTAAACTCAGTGCACTGATTTCACAGTATGTGCTCATTTGACTTTAATTATAAAATGATTATTTCAACATTTTTTTTCCCCTGTAAAATAAACCAAGCCTGAGAACCATGTAACCTCTATAGAATTACATTACTTCTTTGTGCAGTTGGTCTTTGCTCATCGATACTGCACTTACAGTACAGTTACACATGGAAGGATAAAAACAACATCTTGGGGCTTACAGTCAGTATGGTAGTTTCAGATCCCACAGCAATAAAAGCTCCTTTGCTGGCACCTGGCCAAAGGAAGCAGCGCTGGAATCCTCTTAAGTGAATATAAAGGTCACAAGGAGGAACCTTCACCAGGTGCAGGGAGATGACTTGATCTCATGCTACTCTGGAAGATGTTGATCATGCATCCTGGAAATATGTATTTATTACCATTTATTAATGGACTGTTTGAACCTGTGCAAAGCTCAGAATAGGATCATCTTCCTTTCTAAAAACAAACAAAAAACAAACTGATAAAAGTTCTCTTGGCTGTAATGGCCAGACCAGAGCTTTCCTTGGGAACAGGACATCTGCAGCCCATGCCTCAGGAGTGACAGAGCATGAAGTGGCTTGAACAGCTACATTGTCAAAGGCAACGCCATGCTTCAAGCTTGAAAAAAAAAAAAAAAAAAAAAAAAAAAAAAGCTTTTTGGGAAGGTAATGTTCTATCAGGCATACCATCTGAGGGGAATAGCAATGAATGCTTTCCATGCAGTGTAGAGTGTATGCTGATCACTGATGGTAACACCAGCTGACATCTTTCCATCCAAGTCCTGAAGAATGTTACCAGGTTCAAAGTATCGCATCTTCCATTTCAGAAACTATTCAGAGCTGACCTACATACTGTCAACATTCAGATCCTGTCCCCAAGCAAAACCAAAAACAGCTGTGCTACTGCCTCAAACTAGTTAGTGTTGCTAATAGTAGGACTTCCTCCTGCTGCCAAAATGCTTGGGTGGGATGTGTCTGCATCTCCAGTAAGGCAATGCACAACGCATCTGCACATCTGTGCACAGACAAAGATGCTATTTACAAGGTGCTAGCTTATCTATAATATGTGAGGCCAAAATTTCTAAGTGTCCAAAGTGATATAAAAGTTTAGGAGTTATTTTCAGAAACCCCAGTAAACTCTCAAACGTTGACTTTATCAGACTGCTTAGTCTGATAAATGTATTCATGTATCTAAACCCACAATATCCACTGTGCTAGAATGGCAATTTGTCAGGGCATGAAAAAGTTTAAATTATTTCTTTTACTGTTTTTACTATTGCCCCAGCTAAATCTCATTTATACTTTAGGGATCCTAAGATCCAGAGATGCAACAAGGCATGAAGACAGATGTCTTCACAGTATCGAAAGCTGAAGAACATACATAAGCCTAGATAATTTTTTTTCAGAACACCTGAAATTTAAGAGTATATCTCACCAGACACTTGTCAGTATTGTCTCTCTGAAGTATCTCTGAATCATGTACAGCACACAGAAAAGATTTATTTGTAATACACCACAAAACTTCCAGAGTATGGAGCTTTAAAAATATATAAATAAATAAATTAATTAATAGTCACAATGACTACTCAGCATTTGACATTTCTATTTTTATCAAACGATCTAAAGAAAAATTACAGCAGTACAACTTTCATCAAACCTTCTCCTTAAAGAATATGACTGAAAATCATTAGGTGTTCTCATAATGTTCTATGAAATCATGAACTTTAGTCTGTATTCAGACCATAGCATAAGTATCTCTCAAATACAGTAACCACTTCATAAGTATCAGCTAGTAAGTTCAAGGTGAAAAAAAATTGAAAGATTAAAAAAAAAAAAGACAGTAAGTTAAACATTAGAGACGCATGAGCTAAAGCATTACGTGTAGAGCTCCCCATATAGACATCTTAATTCACTCTGAAGAACAATGAATCTAGATTTTTACTGACTTGACAGAAAAAATGTTTGTTGCTTGTGTAATCAGAGTTCCTTATAAAATGCCTAATAGACACCGTAGTTGAGTAATTTTGCAACAGTTATGATTGTACCATGGGAATAAAAATCACTTTAAATCGCTAGGATATTTTAAGCAGACAAAAGTAAATCACACAACTCTCCTTTCCCTGCTCCCTCTCCCTCTCTCTCACATGCACACGCACCTGAACATAAAACATCCACGAGATGTGTACTTTGGACCTTCAGAAACATGTCTGTTATTATGATGAAATCTGAGTCTGGCAATGGTGTAAGTCTGAGCTCCATCCCTTGTATCCATAAGCTCTCAGAAGGATGTGTGACTTTGCTTAATAACAAGGCCATGGAGCACACGGAACATTAACATTATTCGTTAGAAGGTGGGTGACACGACCTTACAGTTTCTGATTTCTGTTGCATTACATCTTCCCTTCCAGTCAGAGGTTACTGCTGTTGAACTCAGAATGGCAGCATCAGTTATTCCACCTGTGCACAACCTTTGTCAGTGTTCATTTGTTTTCATTAGTAGATCCCTAAAATTATACATGAGGTGAACACCTCTTTAGATTGCTGTGTATAATACTTGCTTTTCACAGGCATCATTTGCAGACTCATTTGAAGTAATTATATGACACACAGGTTTGAAGGCCCATTGATCTGGTGGGTCCAGCTTTGTGTGACAGGATGACAGACTACGCAAGGATGGTGTATGCATGGCAGAAAACCATGTGAAGATGAGAACTCTGACACACTGCTCAGTGTTGGAAATATGAGCCAATCTCCCTACACCGTCAAAACTAGATATAAAAGAATGGATTTCACAGGGCCTGAAGATGTGAGCCTCTGATGAGAAGGTTTTTGTGATCAATGCCTGAAATCTGCTGCAAAAGGCAGATGCAGAGATGTTCCTGATACTAAAAGCCCCAGGAAGCCTAACCGTGGAAACTCCTTATGTGGGACCTTCCTTACAAATTATTTAGTGGTAACTATAAGTCATTTGCTTTTTATAACTAGTTTAATTTTGATTAGTATTACATTGCTGTTCACAAACGAGTCACATGTTATAAAAAGCAAAGCAAGTCTTACCTGGAATACTCTGTCTCCTCACAGACAATGCTCCATCAGGTGGCTTTGCCTGGTTTGCAGACTTTGTGTAAGGACTTTCATCTAAACAGAAACAAGCAACAGTTTCAGTTACTGATAAATATAGTGTTAAAAACAGTATAATTTTTAAATCTAATTACTGTGTGAACTAGCAATGAGTACAAGAGTTGCTGTAAGCTGGATGAGGATGGATATTTCTGAATTCTCAATGACAAAGGCTCTGAATAACAGAGCTGAGAAGTATGGAGTAAAACTCAGATCAGAGATAATGCTCAGTTGATGACAGGCTGAATATACAAAGGCCTTTTTGGTTTTCAGATAAGCACAGAAACTTTCCTTTTCCTGGTGTTAAGAAGCTTCATGTGTCAAAGACTCCAGTAGCAGAGAGAACATCCCTTTTCAGGAGAGGAACACATCCAGAACCTTGTGAGTATTCTGGCTGTAAAGATGCTCCTTTTCCTTTTCCTCTGCCAGAGGATGCTTCCTTCTCTGTCGTAACAAATGATTGGAGAAAACATCAGAGAGATGTTGCCAAATAGGCCAAGCACATTTATACCAAAGAATGGCACTGCAACAGCCTGTGTCTAAATATGAAGCTTTGTGGAGCACCTACTGATCAACCTGAAGGCAGCTGCTGGTGGGACAAGAAGAAAGTCATCAATTAAAGGCAGCATTAGGGAGAAATGAAGCTCTTCTACATCCCTCCTAAGAACAGGATGACTGGTAGGGAAAAAAATCAACTACATTGTAGCTTTAAAAATGACAAGCTGTAAGATCAAGAAAAAAATGGGGATTGAAGAGAAGAAATAAGAGTGTGTATTTTATTACTTCAATCAAAGGAAAGGAATCACAAGAAATTAAGCTTCTGTCTTGGTTGTCCTTTAATCAAGTGTTCAAACACTTTAAAGCATTATCAAATCCTTCTACTTACATCTTTTTCCATCAGGTTATGAAAGACCAACCAGTTTCTAGCATGTGCATGAATACATGCTTGAAAGAGATCAATGACTAAAGGAATCAAAGACTAGAGTACCTAGTGCATCAAAGACTACAGACCCAGTACTGCATCCTGAGATCCAGTGGAACCACATTTTCTGGAGAGTCAGGTTTTCTTTTCAGCTAACGCTCTGGACATGATAAGCCTTCTTTGCTGATTACACTATTTATGTCTTGTAAAGTCCCAAACTTGCTTAGAAACTCACATCAAAGACACCAATCCATTTCTATTCAAGTGAGATAAGGGTTTGGTAAGCAAAATTTATTTTAAAGCAAGGTCTCAGAAGGAAGTGACTGGAAGAGCTGCTTGGGATTAAAAAATGATTTCTGCAATGAACTCATCTTCTGTTAGGTGGATGTAGAAACAAAAAAAAGCTGAATATATCTAATGTTTTTTAAGGGCAAAAGATTGTTGCATGGCTATGCACATTACCAAAAGTGCAGCAAGTAAAGAAGAAAATATATTGGTAAAATATCCCTCTACAGCCAGATATCATTGCTTTTTCTACCGTAAAATTAACTCTCATTGCTTTAGAACTGCATTGTTACAAGGAGGAAGGTAACAGGCTTGACTATACTGCATGCTGGTACAAACTTGAAGAAAATAAAGCTGTCAGCTATATAATAAACAGGAGCATGAAGAAATATTAACATAGACCCAGCTACACAAGTCACGAAAAAGGGAGATGTATAAGCCTTTATTTCTCCATTTGAGGTAAGTGGAAAAGCTAATATTATTGCATATGCAGAATATACATACCCTCATTAAAGAAAAAAAAAAATGAACAAGAGCTTCTAAGAGGATTAACTTTTTTCTTTCCTAGAAGAGTCATAGTTGAGGTAGAACTCAGGCTAAGGCTCTCAAGACAACCTTGATAACTTATATCAATTCCAAAAAAATATAGGGATCATCAATAACGTGGCTTGGATGTCACATGTATTACTCCTTATTCGCAGGTGCTGTATGTGACAGCAGATATTGTGAGACATGCATTTTTCTGTTAAGAAGTGGGCAGGAAACATAACACAGTTTCTTAGGAACCGATGGATGGTGATGACTTTTGGGCCTATTTGCATGTGTGCTCTACCTGTGAAAAATATATCAACTTCAAGGAATAAAACAGCTCTCTCCTAGACAGACTCCTTACATATGCATTATTTCCATCAGACTGGAGAGATGGCAAAAAGGAGAGAAGAATTTCCACAGCTAGGCCTTTTTCATTGAATCTTTGTCAAGAGCAAATGAATAAATCAGGTACAATATTTTGCTGGAACAGGATTTTCCCAATACTGCACTACAGTGGGAGCGCATGCGGTTATCCTGAATTCAGAAAGAAGGACAAGCCTGCAAATCTTGCTGGTTAATGGCACCGGTGAGGGAAGGTCAGTGTACATTCAAATTACTTGCAAGGGACCCTGAGCAAAAAGTCTCATATTTTTACATACCAACTGACAGATACGGCAGGAAACTGAGACTGCTGTGTAAGCTAGCATTTTAGTCCATGTATATTAGCGCTGAAATCTTGTCAGGTATTTATGCAGTGTATGTACTGTTAGGTACTGTGGGGATGTAATTATGTTACATTTCTTAATCTGTCTACAGACTTTGACAGAAAACAAAGGATCCCCAATGGCTATTTCACAAACTTTTGAACCCCTATTAAGGCAAAATACGTCCAGTTATCATGGGGGTATAACAACGACCCACTGCCTCACTGATGGACCGGGAAGCTTCACATTGCTGGAAGTTCCCAGGCCAGGAAATAATTGTCTTTCAATGCCCATTTAAAAGCAAAATTGCAGCCCAGGATAACCAAAAATCGGTGTAAAGAAATCCCAGAAGCAATGGAAAACAAATATAACCACCTAGAGAAAGAATACAGACAGCATCCTTATTTGAGACAGAAAACTAATATGAAGAGCAGATAGATGCAGAAGTAGACATCATCCCGAAGACTAAGAGTAAACTAAAGAGACAAAAGAGCCCTGGTAGCCCTGAAATGTCAAACCCCATCATGCTGTCAAAAAGGGGAGAAATCTTTTTGTCTGCATTAGCAAAGTTGTACGTATGGTCATAAGAATTGATAAATCAAATTCTACTTTACGCCCCCACCTGCCAGAGGGGACCTATCTTGGCAGGGAGGATCTTAAAACATGCAAAAATGTTCTCCTGATGATATCTCCTGATATCAGTGCTTAGAGGGATTTGTCCGAGTGCTTTGTGTTTCCAGCTTCCCCCTCTCCAGCACAGAGACTCCCTGCAGACAAAACCCAACCCAGAGAGCCCCCACCCTGAAAAAGCAAAGGAGTAAAAGGATGCGAAGCATGTTCCCAGCGGGCAACAGTAACTCCAAATTAGGTAAAGATGAGATATATTTAAGAAGCCACACACACAAAGCAGAGGGAGAAACAGGCTGGATTCAGAGGCATAAATCTCACGCCGAAAGCCCTGACTGGAGCAGGCCGGCAGAGAGCTGCATGCTGGAGGGGCCTCTGAACGTGCCAGCTTTGCCCCTTTCCTCAGGAGCACACCATGGGTGTCCGTGCTTATGACACTGGAAATAGCGTAGCTCTGTGGATACAGTCCTGGAACTGCATTCATTACATCCTTTTTTATTCCTCCTCCCCCCCCCCCCTAATTTTCTCTGGTGAAAGAATAACCAGCCCTGAATACACAATGTGTATCAAGTTGGTGTATAATATAGAGGTGTCTGCTATGCCAGCAGATCTCTTCATTCAGTTACTACAGGAAACAAACCCTCTTACACTGTTAAAGAGGTCATTACCCCCAAAATCATAGCTTAAGTATTTTCTGCAGTTGCAAACATGTGATAGCAAACAAGTTGCCCGCTGTACTACTGTCCCCTTTCCTGGCAGAGTGCAGCAGTGATCCCGAAGGTCCATTATGAGATTCCTAACCTGCGAAGCCAAATCAGCATCTTGGATCCTCTTTACACTTGTCCTCACAAAAGCAACAGCCCCAAGTACTGGTGGCAGTAACCACCACATCATCCTCTCCAAGCTCTGCCCACAGTTCTTCCAATCGTAGTGATCAAGTGGACAGACAAGCAGCCCTACTGCTTGCAGTTACTACTGTAGGCTTACCGCTTTCAGCTGTGACCCATGAGGCAGATAAGCAGCTCTTTGCACTTTCCTGCCTATTTTTAACCAGCTGGCATCTCCACCCTGTAACGGAATGATTCATTCTTTGTGTTAAGGACCACGCTGTGAGCCATTTATAGCGTTCTGCATTGCCCCTGCTGTACAGGGGAGCCTCCATCCAAGACTAAGGGCTCTTTACACTCTAACAAACCAACAGTAATATAATCCTATAAAGATTATATATATGTGCATTGTCCAGTGTGTAAGTGCTAGGGACTGTGCTAGCAAAATGACCATATGTAATCTTTAGATGTTTGCTATATTCAATTTAATATCCTTTGAATGATACCAACTGGGGGCACATAAAAGGGAACAGAAGGAAAGTCTGAAGATATTTCCTCAACAGTCCAGTCCAGGCATTCGGTATATTGGGAGGTTTATGGCCACTGAACCACTTGTGTGTCCCTCAAGACGGCTGTGAAAGCTATTGACACAAGAATGTTGTTTACAGATGGGGTAAAGGCTACAAGCACTCCCTTCATGCCAATCTTCACACCTGGTTAGAGGATCTTTCCTGTTGCTGAGGCATGGCCAGGTGATAACTACTGAACCCAACAAATATCACAGAATTATTAAGGTTCGGAATGACCTCAAAGATCAGCTAGTCCAACCATCCCCCTACCAACAATGTCACCAACCAAACATGTCATAATCCTGTGCTGCATCATTCTCGTTCTTCAACAACTTTCTTACCAATGTCTAGTTATGGGATAAGCCATTCTTTAGCCAAGGGAGGAACGAACTTAAACATTTTTAGAGTGATTCCTAAGCAGACCAGAATCCAATCCTGAGGTGTTGCTCATATGTTCCTCACTGTGCCTCTCCTAAACAATTAATGCGAGTTCTAAGACTCCACAAAAAAAGTACATCCTTCAGCTTGCTCAGTGTATAGGAGATGTAGGACT